CCCCCAGTGACGACACTAACTTTAATATGTTGACGCGGTTTTTTCTATGTTGACGCATGCAGCTGGACGTGGAGGAGTTTTACGCAAGACTGATTGTACGACTATAGAATCCTTTTTAGCTTGAGTAGAGGGAGCGTATAGCCTGGGTAGTGAGATATGGGGCTGCATTTGGGGACTACGAAGAGCCTGGGATAATGGCTATCAACAAGTCAGAGTTTTCACTGACATTACCGAAGTAGCAATTCTAAGTGCAAGTGGTACAAAAAGCGTCGATATATATGGGGATGCAACCCTCATTACAGAAATGCAAAACATTATAAGTAGGGATTGGACCATTCAAATGAGACACATCAATGGCTGCGGGTGAAAATATGCTAGGCTAAGCTAGGTTTTAACTAAAATTAAAGTCTGAGTTTAGGCCTAAGCCTGTATGTAGGCCATTTTTTAGGTTCAAACCTAAGCCTTTAAAAAGCCTTACAAGGCCTGAAACTTGTTTAAAGGCCTACTTAAAATGTGGGTCTTTAAATAGGCTTAAATACTCATGTCTCCAAATTCATATATAATCTTTCAAACTTATCCAAAAGTTTGTTATATTTTAAAGCCTGGGATTCTTTCTCGATCACCTCCAACATAAGAGATTAGTAAGAAAAAATGTCTAATAAGAACAATTGTCTGAATAGGAAGGAATACAAAAAATCAATCATATGTTGATTGAGGAGGTTCATTTTCTAAAATTAATCAAGCATAACAAATGGCATGTCAAACTGGATTTTACCTCTATTGCTTTTCTCACATAAATTGGGACAAACTCCTTATACAAAGATTATAATATTTTATTTGAGCATCACTAAAATAAACTTATAAAAATTATTATGCTTTAACAAACAATGCAAATCAAGGGAGAGGGAACGAGCTAGTATTGCTGTCTTGAGCAGTCAAAGAGAAGAGATATAAAAGGGAATGACTGACGAATGAAAAGGTTGAGCTTTTAAGCCTAGCCTATTTACTAAATAGCTTAGTCTGTTTACTTAAAGTAAGTTAGGTCGCCAAATTTATTTTCATCCCCAAAGATAGTAGACTTACTTGCTAAAAAAGCTCTGTGCATAGGATTCGGTCTCCAAGTTCTTTCCAATGAGACCACTAGAAGCTTATTCTTTGATAAGGGCATTACTTAGTTTTTTTTTTACTTGTTTTTTTTTCCTTTTTGCTTGTTTCTTTCCTTGTTATAAAAAAAAATTAACTTAACTATTTTTTTAATATTCTGAAAATTAATTATTTAATTCTTATTTTAAGAATCGAAGATAGAGAGTAACAGGAATTTTCAAATGATTCATAACAATATTTATATGCATATCATTAGATTGTAAAATTTTACTAACATAATTGACAACAAACAATATATCATACCACATGTTCATTTATAAATACATGACACAAATACATAATAGGGGTATTGACAACTTTTTTGGGGCCTAACGCGGTTACCTCACTTGCCCACGGCCCCGAAATCCCATCCAATAAACTCATAGACCCACACAAATCTAAAATTGCAAATAAAACGTGAATTTTCTGGCAAAAAACGGCATAAAATTGGAATTTTTCATGGTGGGATATCAAAAGTACCATGAGGCTCTGTTTTTCTCTTTACCAAAACAGGGGATTGAAGAAATAGCTCTCCAATTGTGCTTGTTTCCCATTCTTCCCTGTCATGACAAGTCTTTGTGAAATCAGAAGAATTATTATAATACAAACCCTTCAGGCCCAACCCTTGACACTCCAAGATCCTACTGGCTTTAAGACACACTACTTATGTGGAGGACTGACGGATTAGTTTGAAAAATTTTCAAACCAGTAGAATTGTAGAAAGTAGAGGTTGACCTGTCCCATTCGTCATAAACATACATAACCAATTTACAACAACAATCTCTCAGGTTAAAAACTAAAAACCAGGGAAAGAAAGAGAGACTGCCCACCAATCTTATTGACATTAACAATCATTTTTGGGAAAAAAACTGCTTTCTTCAATATATGATAGCCAAAAATACAGAAATCTCCAAACATGCTTACCCATAGGAAATACTCTCTTGTAACACGAATGAAAAGTTCGGTTTCGTCTAATTCTCCAACAATACGTGAAAGGCGAAGAACTCAATATTAATAACAAGCAAAAACCTGGAAATAACAACTGGTAGAAAGTAGAGGCGTCCCTATCTGAGTCATTTGAGTTTTCTTTTGTCTTTTTTTGTCTTGATGGAATTCAGTTTTCTTTTATCAGCAGCCTTGAACTTTCTCAGGAACTTTGTTGGGTGGTTCATTAGGAAGAGAAGCAGTCGCTCTTCGTTTCAGGGAACATATTGGTGCCTTCATGGAAAGCTGAGAAGACTTGAACTGCAAATTCTCCATGTTTGTGTGTTGTTTATACACATAAATTCCACAGCAGACTACAGGCATATTTGGTGTCAAACATTTCACTTGCATTTTCACATCATTCCAATCCAAGATCAGATACCTATCAAGCCTCTTCCACTCCAATAGCTCAAAAGCCCATCTTAAATCAAAGAAGTACACATGACCTTGTGTACTCCCATAGTTTACATCTTCTTTCCTCGGTATTTCATGACCATTGATGGTCACAGAAACATGGAAGCGGTGTCTCCCACTCCTGTTTGCCTTCCCTAACTGACATGCCAGAGCGGCACGAGGGAAATTCCCACGAGCACGAAATGACAACGTCCCTCCTTCGCAACAATCATCAAGCCAATCAGGAAATGTTGGTGCTGGCATACATATTCTGAGGAGATCAGTTTCATTCTTGACCTGATTCACCAAAGATCAGATGCCAAAGGGGATTTCAGATTTGAAAACGACAATAGATGAAAGAATGGAGATATTATTCTTATTTCCATTCCTAACAAAAGAGAGCATGTTCAAGTTAGGCATTCATAGATGTTCTATTATAATTTGAGGTTAGGCATTAAAAAATTAACTAGTGACATGAATGCAATAAGCGTTACACAGCAATCAGTTAACCTGAACATCAATTTGGGGAAAGTGATAGAAGTTTTAAGGAAAGAATCTAAATACAATAATGATGATGATGATGATGATGATGATGATGATGATGATGATGATGATGATGATGATGATAGCCGCTGCTGCAGCAACAGAGGAGCTGTGATGCGCGTGGACTAATAAATCTTGACCAGATAAAAGAACGACTGTAAGGGGGGGAAAAATGGTCAAAGGTCAAGAAATGAATCGATGATTGCATTGGGAAAACTGAGGGCTGAAAATGTATCTATATCCTAAACGAAAATTACCAATAGCTGTCTTCCTAGTTGCACATGTATTTAATTCGATTTGGCTATCACATCCATAACAAAAGGAAAAGGGGAACAGAAATGACAAGGAAACAAACCTGAGACCATAAATGACCAATTGATTTGGCAGTTAATGATGTGCAATTCTCTGCCTTTATGTGTCTTAGCTTTGATGGCAACTTCGGTATGTCTCTTAGCTTCTTGCAGTTATCCACTTCCAGTTTCAACAATTCAACGCACTCATTGATACATTCAGGAAAGATCACAAAATCATTGCCCGATAGAGTTAACTCTTGCAAATGCCGGAAGAATTTCAGAACTAAGGCAAGATCTTCATCCAATAGACAACAGTTTTCAAGATTCAAGAAGTTTATGCTAGCACAGCTAGCAACTAGCAGGCTCTCTTGCGTTAATTTCATCAAAGATTTTCTGCTAGGAGTGTGACTGTCTCTCAACTCAAGCCACTTAAGATTTTGCAATGTGAATAAGCTGTTTGGAAGCTCCCTGAGACTTTTGCAAGAGCTTAGATTTAAACATTCAAGCTCAGCAAGACTTCCAATGGAAGGGGGGAGCTCCTCAATAGAAGTGTCTTCGGCCCAAATATCGGTTAAGGCATCCATCTTTCCCACGATATGTGGGAAGTAGTCAAGACTCTTACAATGGCTAAGATTAATATCTTCGAGAGCTGGCAGGTTGATTTCATGTGGAAAGTTTGTAAGTTTGGTGCAGTCACTAACATCCAAGTGGACCAGCTTAGAGAGAGATCCCACTGAATGGTGTATCTTGACCAAGCTGCAACACTCTCTAAACAACAAGCTTTTTAAATTTGGGAATTGAGACATATCAGGTACTTCAATTATGAATTCGCAATGTGAAACGTTCATGTATGTCACGAAGTCAAACCTCTGCAAAACAAAAACTAAATAATTGAATTAACAGTAACTACCAAGAGATATTATTTGGATATACAGACCTCCTCCTATTTCTGAAAAAGCTCCCTTGTATTGAAGACCATAGATCATTGACTTAATTAATAAATACCATTGTAATGAATTTTATAGTTATCTTTCAGAAATTAGATAAACGCATATGCTTTTTATGGTGGAAGGACATGTACATATGCTTGTAAAGAAAAGGAGTAGCTGTTAACATATGAACAAGCTATAAAACAAAATGAGCTATCCAATTTTGCAACTATATTCGATTCTTATAAATTAGAATAACATGTAACTTGATATTTTCCCCAAAAGAATATTAATAATGTCTAAAGAAATTTGACAAGAAAACAATTATAAAATATTTTTAATAAAGTACCTTAAATGGCTCCTCCAGTCTGAAGATGCTATTGCATAACCTCAAGGAAGTTAGATTCTTAGGAGAAAAATCTGACGGTAAATTTGCAGAAGGATATCCCTTCCAATCAAGAAATCTTAAACTATTGGGTAAAAACTTAGGGTTCGTTGAAAATTGTGTATTCCGAACCACAAGAATTCTAAGATTATTCATCTTCTCAAAGGCTATACCACTCCAAGTCACTTCTTGTTGTTGTGGGGGGTCAAGCATTATTCCTTCAATGTTACTATTTCCCTATAATGCAAATTCACATAAGTAATGTTATAGTGTTAGACATGGCAAAATAGCTTAATAAATTAAATCACATGACTAGGAAATAGACAAGATCTAGATACTTACTAAATTTTCACGAAGCAATTTGAGAACATCTTTATAATACCATATTCTACTGCGTTTATTAGGCTTTGATGGTGCCTCTTGCCTAACAATCTCTCTACCTATTTTTTGTATTAGATCATGCATGCCCAACGTACCATTATCAGAAATAGATATAAGAGATTTTTCAACGAGCACTTCAAAATAAAACCTTCCAAAATCACAAGCTTCTACCATGTCTTCAATGCGTACAAATATCGTTGCCTTAAAAAAACATGCAATATCTAGGAAAATACGCTTAGCATTGTCCGGTAAGCAATCATAGCTCATCTTTAGTATCTCATGAATTGTTCTTTCCGGGATCCTCTCATATTGTTCCAATGTAGACCTCCATTCTTCTAAGTTTCTGTGTGCCAAATTGGAGCCTATCAATTTTAAAGCCAGAGGAAGGCCTTGTGCATATCTGCTCGCACAATTTGACATATCTTGATATCCTTTTGGAGGTTGGCTCAACTTGAAGGCATGCCAACAAAAGAGTTCAAGCGAGTCATGATCATTTAGCTTCATCATTTCATATGTCTTTTCAACATTACGTGCAATTAGCAATTGCTTGTTTCTTGTTGTTATGATGACCTTGCTTCCGCAACCAAACCAATCACACTCTCCTGCAAGTTGCTCTAGTTGATCAAGTTGATCAGCATTATCAAGAACCAACAAAACATTTTTATGTGAGAGTCTATGTCTTAGAATAGATATTCCTTCATCGACACTGTTAAACTTCATCCTCTTTTCCTCAAGAATCTCTGATAAAAGTGTTTGCTGAAGACGAACAATGCCATGATATTTCATTGATGCTTCTCTGACGTCAAACAAAAAACATGCACCTTCAAATTGATGGAAGATTTTATTATACAAAGCTTTTGCAAGGGTTGTTTTGCCAATCCCACCAGTTCCATGAATCCCCAACATACAAACGCTACGATCACTTTCACCCAGAAGTGACATCACTTCTTCTAAACGAGGCTCAAGTCCAACCATGTAATCAATGTTATGGAACGGTTTAGGAGGCAGCCTAGAATATGCATCTTCAACAATCCTTTCAATACACGCAAATTCATATCTACAAAAAGGAAATTTTCTATTTTTAAAATGAAGATATTCATGCAAAATATGTCTTCATTTTTCAGTTTACCATGTATCTTTTTTGCCTGAAAAGGAGAGGGGGAAAAAATCATACTTCGATGCTTTAAAGATAACATCAATATGCATCAATTTGCTCTCTTATTATCTTTATCCTTCGACACCATAAAAGTATTTAAAAATTATACAGTATATATTTAATATTTAATTTAAAAATATTTGCTGCCCCACCAAATAGAAATAGACCAAAAAACTATAAATCCAAAACGACAAAATTATGCTTTTCAAATACTAAAGTAAAAACAAATCATCATTAATGTCAGTTATAACGTCTTACCAATCCCCACAAATACTGAAGCTTATCCAACATTCATGTGATGCAAAAGATAGTGTACTCCAAAAGCTAATTATTCTATCATCTTCTCCTTTTTTGCAACCAAAAATTCTATAGCCATGTATTTTTTTCGGCCAATATAGTCACATATGAATGTCCGCAACAATATTGGATTTCAAACTAAGCAGAATTATTAGAAATATGAGCTGGATTCAGAAACTAAGAAAATAAAGGTACAACTCTTAATAACAACAGATACTTTGTTTAGTAACATATCTTCTAGACGATTTCTTAGGACCTCAGGTTTACAAGAATTGCCCTATTCAAGTGCAATAATAACAGTGTGTTTGGCTTGACTAGAAGGAAGAGGAGAGATATTAATTAAAAAAAAAAAGGAGGGGAAGAAGGGAAAGGATAGCTGCAAAATGGAGGGTAGGGAAGAATGAAGAGAAAAAGAATTTTAACAATCCATTGTTTAGATTGATTGAAAGGGGGGCAAAAAAAAAAGAAGAGAAATTTTAATGATATTTTATTTTGTTAGATTTTCTTACTTTTTTTATTTTATTAAGATATAAATATATATTATTTTTAATTTTTAATATAAAACCTTATGTAATTTTTATTTTAGTTCTAAATATAAGATCTCAATTCATTTTATTTTTAATATTTATGTATTTTTTTAAGATAGTCTTTTTAATAATAATAATTCTAACCAGCACACTTAATCAACAAGAATATCTTAGAAAAAATAACATCTATTTATTATAAATAATTAACTTAACTTATTTTTTTAATCTCCTCAAATTAGCCAACTAACTTTTATAATTAGAACCGAAGATAATATAATATAATTTATTAACTTTAACTTACAAAAGCTTAACACACACAAGATAAACTATGAATGATGAGTTTCAATGAGAAGAGGTGTTGAAGAAAAGAAATTATCCCATAAAACAATAAAACTAGAAAAAAAATTTAAAAAAATCTAACAACACTCATCAATTATTTCAACAGTCTCTCGCTTGATATTTAAAAAAATTATATTGTATAGAAAAATTTATGACTGATAAGGGTTAACAAATTAAAAAATATACAAAAAAATTAAAATATTTTATTTAGACTATTTTTAAAATTTAAAATTTTATGTCTTATCTTTCTTACTTAAAAACCATCCTAAAAAGAAAAAGAGACGAGAAAAAAAAAAAAAGAGCATTTTTCCCTCCTTAAAAAAATATCTCGACCACACACAGAGAGGACTTCCTTTAAAAAAAACACCAATACACTGGCGATACAGGAGAGGGAGCAACTTCCTTTCCCTCCACTCTTCTAAAAATCCCTCTCCACTCTCTTTTAAAAATCGACATAGCGTAAAAGTCACCGACCAAAATTTCAATATAGCATCTTGCATTATCAGCAACCACCAATTCTATCAGTATAGCATTACAAACAAAATACGTAATATAAAGAAACCTACTCATCGTTGAAAAGCCATGCTGATGGCAAACTAGCCGCTTCAGACAAAGCAAACCTCCATTTTCGCACTTTCTCCAAGTCATTTCTAAACCTAACTTCATGAGCAGCCATGGCTTCACCAAAGCTGTTCCTCTGATATTGGACATCCTTGGGATCCACCTTGTAGAAGATGGGCATAACCATCTGATTCTTCTCCGTCTTACACTGAATGATGTGAGCAAGTTCATCCAGGCACCATGTGGAAGTAGCGTAGTTCAGAGAGAAGACAATAATGGAAATCCTGGATTTGTCTATGGCTTTAAGAAGCGTCGGTGAGATCTGTTCCCCTTTCCCGAGCTTCTTGTCATCTATGAAGGCGTTGATTCCCTTACGGCGTAGAGCATTGTAGAGAATCACAGTGAATGAATGGCGAGTATCTTCGCCTCTAAAACTCAGAAACACGTCATATCTATACTTAGGTTCGCGGGCGACGCCATGGGATGATGGTGCTGAAACTCGAATCGCCATGGCCGCTCTCGCCACTACAGATTGCTAGACCTTGATGTTTGATTCTGTAAGCAGAGAGAAATTTGCATAAATGCAGCTCATCAGGGACGAGCAAGGCAAAAGTTTAATAATTCCTGTTGCCCGTCTTTTGGAATCCAATGGTTTCTTTCGGCTTTCCCCCGTCAAAATGCTCATCAAGACGACTGACTTCTTTTCACCCAAAAAAGAAAAAGGGGAAGGCCTCATGAGTCATGAGCGGCTGCGTCCTTGACTTGAGAAGACGCTTTACTGCCAAGCAAGCGTACGGATTCGGCGTATTATCAGCCTATATATTAAACAAAAATCGGTGCCAAGCCGAGCCAATGTTTTCTTCATTGCGGCTCCTCTCTTAGTTTACTGTTCTATGGACAGTGACGACATAATGAGCAGTGCCGGCTCCATTTTTGTGGCTTTATCACAAGAAAGCACATTTGGCATATTTGAATTTCAAAATTTGAAATTCCCTCCATCATCATTGATTCATTATCCCTTCTCCTGTTCTTCTCTTTTTATTTTTTATTTTTGTCTGTCTCATTTCTGAATTACTATTTCCGTTTCTTAATATAAAATCTTGTTTAACTTTTATTTTGGTTCTAAATATAAGATTAATTTTATCTCTCATATTCATGTATTTTTTTTCAAGATAATCATTCTAACAATAGTAGTTCTATTCAATACACATGATTAGTAAGGATATTTTGATAAAAATAACACTTATTTATTATAAATAATTAACTTAACTTATTTTTTTAATCTCTTCAAATTAATCAACTAGCTTTTATAATTAGAACCGAAGATAGTATATATCAAGTTGGAATTTGTTTCGTCATTGCTTAATTCCATCATAACATTACCCTCAACCGGGTGAAAGTGATAAAACTTGCTTCGTCATTTCTGAATTATATATGGCTGAGGTGGCATGAATTGTAGGAATAAGATATGGACTTTTAAGATGTTGATTGGAGACTATGGAACGTTTGAATTAGTTTTTTAAAAATGATTTTGTGAAATACAAATTATAGTATATATATAATAAAAGTTTCGTCTCAATTTATATAAAAATATTTTTTAAATAATTTTCAAGCTTTCGAAACTTTTTAGAAAAATAAGTCTTCAAATTTTCAATAATTTTCAAGAGTTCTTGATTTTCTTTATGAGTCTTCAATCTTCATTCAATCATGGGTGCTTAGTGTTAGTTCAAGATAACAAGAAGTTTATTACTAGGTTTAGTTTGGTTTGCTTGAATGTTATGTTATCTCATGTACTTAATATAATGACTATTTAATTAATTTTAGTAAATTAAAAGAAATTTGTTAAGTCAATTATTTTTAGTAAATATAAGTTAAACTTTTTAATATATTCTTTTAAGCATGGCTACTCTTGGATGAAAATCTCCTTCATATCTGTAATCAATAAAAATACTTTAGAGAATAAATTATAAATTCGGGAGACAAAATTATTCTTTTTATTAAAGAGATAAAGTTAATTAAGGTCTTACATTTAAGACAAAATATAATTTTTAAATAAATCTTATATTAAAAAAAATAGAGGTAGGATGTGAGTACAAAAAAATCATGGGTGTTTAGGGTTCCCTAAAAAAGTTAGGGACAATTGCACTGAGATCCCATACAACACAAAATACAACAAAAAAGTCTTACCAAATTTAGTAATGCATTAAAAGTCTAAAAGGGACTTGATTGCATTAACAGAAAAGATGAAAATACTCCACTACCTTTGGCTAATAGAAACACTAAATCTTATCAGGTTTTCCTCTTTCCTACCATTCTCCCCTTTTCTATCGATGTGCAGAGCAGTGAGAGGAAGAAAGTTTCTAGAAAAAATTTTATATGCTCAATCCATCTCCTGCTTCATTCTTCTTCTTATCGCAGGTGTGAGTATGTCAATGATTGTTCGCTATCTTCTCTTCTCTCTCGATTAATATCTCTCTCACTTTCTTCTTCCTTAGACCAACACGATAGCAAAGAGGCAAGAAAATATTTTAAGCTTCAACTGCCTCCTCCAATGGTTGGCGTCTATTCTTCTCTTCTATCACTACTCCTTGTTTATTTTCACCGTTCCTCTTTTTCAATGACGACATGGTTTATCAGGGGTGCGTGAAGCTAGAGGAGTTAGAATATTATTTTTTTTAGAATGCATATAAAGTGTTTGATAAAATGTTTTGAAGAGGAATTGGAGGGATCGGGGTAAGAGAACTAAGATTTTGAAGCTTAATGCTATTGTCTAAATGTTCTTGCACTCAAGTTGTTTGTTAAAATGTAGAAAGGAAAATCTTGATTAAAAAGAAATAGTTAAATATATTGAATATGATAGATATTATGCTCTGGAAATTTCTTCAACTTTGCAGGACAACAAATAAATGGAAATAGATCAAGAGATTACGTACCACGTAATTTAGTTGGATTAGATATGTTACACTTTTATTTGACAGTATTCTTAATAATAGGCTACATTAATTTGATAATTATTTTCTTATTTTGATATATAAGCTAAGATAGATCATAGGACTATGTGCCATGTAATCATAATCATAACCAAATTTGTTTTGTGTTTGTTTCACTTTCAGCTTGATTTTGGTAAGCTAAGTTGGACATGGATTTTGCCAGAGCTGTATGTATGTATGTATGTATGTATCAAAATGTGGAGAGCTATATATGTTTGAAAAATCTTCACTTTTTTGCTTTAAAAAATGGCAGACTTTGGTCTATAATATTGAATACACACAAAATTGCTTGCCCATGTTTTAATTTTGGAAAAATGATATTAAGGTCCCACACAAACAAATATATAGCAAAAAGGTTTTCTGAAATCTCATAATTCTTTTAAAGTCCCAAAGGGACTTAGCTACAATTTTCAGAAGGTTAAAATGACTATCTTGCCCTAGCATATCAAAAACAAAGACGCTGAGCTAAGTTTCCTGCGCAGTGGCTCTGTTATGGTTGAGAGAGAGGACGAGGAGAAAGAAAGAAGGAGTCGTTGATGATAAAGTATCTTCCTTATTGCCATTAATGAACTCCAAAGAGCTTCCATTTGAATCTCCACAAATCTTCAGATCTGAAACTTTCTTTTCTCTCATTTTCTACTTTTCTTGACAGATTGATTGTGTTTGGGAATAGGAAATCAGAAAATCATTTTTGCCTTTGAACTGCAAAGCTTTTGTTTTTGGTCTAGGATTCACAAGTTAATTAATGAAAAAGCTGTGTTTTTTGTTGTTGTGTATTAGTGATTTAAGTTGGGTTTGTAAGATAATCATGGGTGCTCTATTTTTGGGTATATTGTGGCTAGTTTTGCTCTATTTTGACATTAATTTAGTGGAAGAGAAAGAAAAAGATAAAGGTTAGTGTGGGTAGAAACCCTTAGCACGAAATGAGATATTATATTGCCAATCAAGTTGCGATAGTTGTTAATGTGTGCTGTGACAGTTGTCAATGTAGCTGCTTAACTTGTCAATGACAGTTGCGTGATTCTTGATGCAGTTTTATATTACCGATGGCGAGTATACCTGAAAAGCATTTATTTTGCTTTGTTCACATAAGGGGAAAGTTTATAAATAATAGGGAAGATGATATGAGATATGTGGGAGGTAGTGTAAGAACAACAAATATAAAGGAGGGCACAAGTTATGAAGAATTGAAGAAAATTATATCATCAATTGTTGGAAAAGAAAGTAACTCATTTTTTTTAAAATTCTCAAATGTGTTTGATAAAAAAAACATTTGTGGATTTGGTAGATGATGATGAGGTAGAGCATTTGATAAAGTTTAATGAAAAAAGTAGTCATGTGTATGTAGAAGAGAATAGAAATAAGGACCATATAGAACCAACAAGGAATAATGCAATAGAGGAGCAAGATGTGTAAGTTTAGTTTAACAAAATTGTTATTGTCATTGTCATTTCTTAGTATGTCAATTGTTACTATCTTGCTACTAATTTGTCAATACATACACCTTGACTTGTCGTTTCCTACAAGATTGATCAATTATTTGGAGGTGTCAAGAGATTGTCTTTGTCTCCACCTATCTTATTTGATGAGATTGGAGAGCCACCATCAATTCCTTGTGCTATTAAAATAATCCCAACACCTACACCACAAATGAATTCCACAAAATGGAAGGATTTGATTATTGGAGAAAGACAAATATTTCCAAATGCCACTGCCCTCCGAAAAATATTATATAAGTACAGCTTATCCCAGAAGTTTTCATACCTTTTTATTAAGAATAATCAGCAAAAAATCATTATGAATTGTAAGGTTGATGGTTGTCCATGGTATACGGGTGCATATTCAATAGAAGCACATCAAGATACTGAGTTTTTAACTATCAGAACATACAAAAGTGAACACATTCATCATGCAAAGAGTCCAAATCTCAGCTGAGAATATATTGAAGTCATTGTGGAAGATGCAAATAGCTTGGACACACTGTCAAGACATGCAAGAACCCAAGTCCTAGCTGAGAACATATTGAAATATATTGAAGTCAGCTATTTTTTGTATATGGATGTGAAGAGAATATTTTGTAAATCAGTGTGAAGGGAATTTTTTGTAAATGGATACACACCAATAGTTAGTTTCGTAATTACATGCAACCCCTATGTTTTTTTTTGGGATGGGTTGTAAAATAGGTGTAGTTTCATGTATATGAAGATGTCAATGAAAGTTGGTTATGAATTAGCATATTAGATTCTACTGTCATTTCAGTTGTCATTACATGCACCTTGCATTATCATTAGACCTGTTATGACTTGTCAATCATTGCAGTAGATTTGTCAATTAATTTCCTGATGTAAGTTGTTAATAATATGAATTCAAGTTACATAACTTATTTTCGTATTATATAATATTTTCAATCACTCTGTCATATTATATTTTGGTTATATTGTCATATATAATCATTATTAATAAAGTGTCAAAAACTACACTGTCCCTTATCAATGGTGGCACTATGACTTGTCAATTGTTG